GGGAGAAATGAGAGGGAAATTTCTTGAAGCTTGAGAAGATCCCCCCCGCTCCACAAAAAAAAAAAAGGAATAGAGAGCAACAAATGGTGGTATATTTCTTTTAGTGGTGCAAGGTTCTAGAATAGATGCTCAGAAGGGAAATGATAAAGGCATTGAGTGAGTTTGAGCCTACCCTTGTGCTTGGCCTTTGGGGTCCTTCCTTTGGAAAAAGGTTGAGGGTGGGGGGAGAGACACTCAAGTTTAACAACAATGTGATGCTGAGGCTTCTTGTATTGCATATGGTGCAAAACTCATGGTGAGATTGGAGCTGGTGGAATGGCAACAACTTAATCATGTACCAGTCTTGCATAGATACTATGCCAAATTCAAATTTGAATAAAATAAAAAAAAAAACAGAAATCCTAAGAAGAGTAACAAAAGTCTAAACCTCCTTTTTTGTTCACAAGTCTAATTGACCTGAGCTTTCTCTTATGTCCTCTAAACACATATTTTTTAGAGCTGAAAAATAAAAATTGTCTGTTGGAGTTAGGCCATCTTCCTCATGCACAAGGATGGATTAAAATCTTTCATGTCTCTTAGTCGCTTTAGTCTCTTTCTTGGTCGTTTTTTTGAAGAATCACATTTCTCCAAAGACATTTGGAAAGGTTTCGAACTAGGAGAAACATATGGAGTTTTCAAAGGTTGATGGAATTTTTCAATTTCGGAGGTTGAAGTCAATCATTATTGCAGCTCCATCTCCTTCACAGAGAGGAGAATGATTCGGGACGCGACTGAGATAGGAGATTCTAGGAAGACCCGGATTTGGTTGGGGGGGGGGGGGGGGGGCGGGCACAGTTGGTAAAGCAGAAATAATGCCAGAACATCAGGATGAAGGAGAGTTTTCAAAAACTGGGGGGGGCAGGCACAGTTGGTAAAGCAGAAATAATGCCAGAACATCAGGATGAAGGAGAGTTTTCAAAAACCCAGGATATTCAAGAAGATGGTGCAGGAGAGGACCAATGTTCTGACTCCAACTCTTCCCTTGACAACCTGCCAATTGAGGATGAGGACAGCGAAGAGATAGGGCAAGAAGAAGAGACGCAAGAAAATATTCAGGAAATGTGGGAAGGGTTGCAGTTCATATTTTTATAACAGAAGAAGATGGAGGCAGGTGTTCCAAGGGAGATGGACGCGAGGGATTATGGAACTGTTACGGGGAAGATGGAAGGAGGCAATTCTGAAATCCAACATCTGGAGAAGGAAACATAGATTTTCATAAACTTTGTGGCCAATAATCAAGAGTATCCCACTAAAAACATTTCCACTTCCTTTTAAATCTAACCACCACTCTATGGCTGCCACAGGGATTAAGGTGAGCAGGGGTCAGCAGATAAGGCTATTTTACCTATTCCTAGAAGCAAACGAGGTGCCAGACTATGGTAAAATTGTTCCATCAAAATTGGTGAGATTTTTGCTTCAAAGACTGAATTTAGTAATACTGTCCGCAATGGAAAGCTTTGTTTCCTCGAATATTTGAGGAATAGGGGTGAGGAAAGAAGCTAAGGCTCTCTGCAAAGGAATGACTTTTCTCAGATTATGGTGTACCTAACGAACAAGGAACTCCTGAATTTTGGATAACCATACTACTTATGGGATATGATTACTTCATGGCAATTTTGTGGGCAGAAGCTCATGGACATTAACCTCATAGTTTTATCACCCTGCTCCACTGGAACTGGGAGTCTATTGTCCATAGCTCGCATTATCTTACAATCGTGTGATTTTTTCCATTTTTTTCTTTCTTTTTACTTATTTTTGAGGAGGATACCTTACCGTCCGCTTTTATATTCGTTTCTTTCTTTTCCTTAATAGAATTCTCTTCATAGAAAAAAAAGAGAAACTAAATTAGAAATCATGGATGACAAGCTAGTGGGAAGTTTATGGGGCAAGAAGAACTATATTTGCTTAACCTCCCGACTTCAGGAGCTGCAAGGTATTATTATTTTCTGGAGTGGCAGGTTTTAGAGCTTATCGGCATGGAAAGGGATGCAACTTGTTTTCTGTACAAGGTGAAGTGGTCTTCCAATTCTTGGATATTCATTTGTGTATGGTGAGGAAGAAGGCAGTGAGAAAGCTTTGTTAGAAAAAGACCTAAGGTAAGGTTAGATAGGATTGGGAAGATCCATCAGTAATATGTATGATTTTAGTACAATTTTGGTTGACTATGAGCTGTTTGGTGGCACCTTTTCTTTTGTTTGTGGGCAGGAAGTCAATGACACATTGACTCCACAATTTCGATGGACTTGCCACATGAGAGTGGATTCTATCTGAAGCCTACTTCCGCGAATCCCTTCTAAGAGTACTCCAATATACCTTCATTTGGATGACACTGAATGGGGTTTGATTCCCTTTAAATTTGAAAATATGCAACTCAAAATGAGTATTCTTGAGAATGTGATTTCTACTTGGTGAGGCTCAAAACTGGAAGGATTTGCGAGGTTTAGAGTTGCAAAAAAGCTTTAGCACCTTAAATCTAAGATAAAAAGTGGAGGATTGATACTTTCGGTGCTGTTGATGTTAAAAGAAATATCCTTTCTATTTTTCAAGAGATTGGGGCAATGAACAACTTGGAAGTCATTTTCCAAGTTATTAGATATGGAGAAGGAAAGACAAAGTCTAGGGAAGCTAGAGCTTGAAGTAGAGATCAAGGTTTAGGTGGATAGAGAAAGGGGATTGCAACACAAGTTATCTCCATACACTTGTTAATTTCTTTAGGAGTAATTTTATTTAAATCCTTTTAATGGAGGGGAAAAATGTGTAGTATTGATGGTGAGAAAATATCCTTAGGAACTATTTTACTTACAGGAAACTTGCTGCTTGGTGCCCCCATTTTGATGAGGTTGGTTTTTTGGAGTTAACCCACATGAGTAAGAGGTGGGTTGAGAGGAAGTTTTAAGAGGAGATTTCTCAGCCTTGTTTGGTTGCAGTATAGAAAAAGCAGCTGGGGATAGTATTTGGAGCATGTTTAAGTACCACGTGTTGTCTATTTGATAATTAGTCGCGGTGGAGATGAGTCGCGTGTGTCTGACTCAGTGCGACTTGTCTTGTTTGCGGGCATCTGATGAAGGTGATAGAGATGAGCTATGATTCTGGCAAGTGTGTTTGCGTCTCGTCTGGATTGCATGACAGATGGTGTCGTGTTTGACCAGTAAGGGTAATGACAGAGAGTTGTGTGTCTAGTCGTGATGAAAGCGATTGAGAATATTTTGTGCAGATGGAGTGTAACAGAGAGTTGCATGGTGACTAGAGTTGTGTGCGTCTATGTGTCTGAGGTTGCGTCTGGTGGTGACAAATAGAGACCTGAGAAGGTTTGTGGTGGCCGGCAGCTAAGGGTTTTTTTATTCTGATAGAGAAGGGCAGGATGCAGGTTTCAGGCGCTAGCGATGAAGGTTGGCTTGGCTACTGCGAGTGGCTGGCGGGTGATCTATAATGGTCAATTATGAAGGCTAATCTAACCAATTTTAAGTCATTTTTTTTTTCAATAAAGGGCGAATCACTAGCATCTGTGTGGTCAAGGAAAGAAGAAACTTGTTGCCCATTCCTCAATCTATCCTTTAGACCATCAGGAGGAAATGAATAGAAGGGTGTTTGAGGGTCTTATATCTAGTATTTCAGGGGTTAGCAATTTTTGGCACCAGACCTTTGGTATTTTATTCAAAATTCATCCTCTCCTCAATGGAGAAGATCTTGGGAGACCTCATAGATAGTTTGGCTGAACTCTTTTGTAACTTTTGCTTTATCCTTTTTTTACAAGGGGGTATTCCCTTAGTGCCTATGTTTATGATGCATGTCTTTTCTTCTAAAATGATCTTAGAATGTCACATTTTGTTTGGATTTTTGAATGTCATGATTTATACATGTTTACTTGTTCATAAATAAAGGATTTTTTTGGAATGGGCTTGTCGATGCTATTGGACAATCAAATATGAAGAAGACCTAGAATAGCCATTGGTGCATATATGATTGTTAAATTCTCATTGAAGTTATATACTGTGTTTTGAAATGTCTGTTCTTAAATGATCTTCAACTCTG